GTGTGTCTGGACTTGTAAGCAGTGGTATTGTGTAGGAGGAGTACTCTCCCTTGAACTTCCTCACCTGGTCCCAGATGTGTTTAGATGTGACTGAACTGTTAATTGATGATATGTATTTTTGCCATGAATCCTTTTCTGCCTGTCTTCGAATAAATCGGGCTCTGGCTTTTGCCTGTTTGAAGTTGATGAGGTTGGCGTAGGTGGGATATCTTCGTAGAATTCCCCAGGCCTTATTTTGTAGTTTTTTGGCATCAGTACACTCGTTTGTCCACCAAGGGTTGAATTTCTTGGGTACGATGCCGGATGATTGCGGTATTGCTTTTTCTGCTGCTAAGATTAAAACTTTGACGAACTCTTCGTTTAGTTTCTCATCAGAAAGCTCCGATGAGAAAACTTCATCGAGCTTAGCGTTTTCTGTGAAAACTGGCCAGTTCGCGAGCTGTAGTTTCCACCGGCGTGGCCTGCTTGTTAGAGTTGGGTAAGATGGTATGAGTTTTATGATGCCGGGTTGATGATCACTGCCATAAAATGTGTTGACGACGTCCCATTTAAAATCATTAAAAATACACGATGAACACATGGCGAGATCTAAGCAACTAAAAGTGCGCGAGGTTGGTGAAAAGTAGGTAAAAGCACCGGAATTAAGAAGGCAGATGTCATTTGTTAAAATGAAATCTTCCACGGCTTGCCCTCTTGCGTCAGTTTTGTCGCTACCCCAAAGGGTTGAATGAGCATTGAAATCCCCAACTAAGATAAATGGTTTTGGCAACTGTTCCACTAGATTTTCTAGGTTATTGGTGGTGAAAAGGGTGTGAGGTGGGATATACAGTGAGCAGATGGTGATGGTTTTGTATGATAGGATGGTGACGGCTACGGCCTCGAAAGATGTGTTTATTTGGACATCTCGCGTAGGAGTGCTGCCCTGCACCACTATGGCTACTCCTCCTGAAAGACGGTTGCAATGTTCGCGGTCGTTTCGGGCAACTTTGAAGCCTTTAGGAAATGGCTGTGTTTTGCACCAAGATTTGTCTCTTGGAGGCAAAAGGCTACTGGTGAGAATTTGTTAATGATGTCCTTTATGTCACCTAAGTTATGAATTAGGCCTCTACAGTTCCAATGTACGATAAAAGCCATGGCAGAATAAAGTTAAGTAAATATACTTCTGGGAATTGATCGGTATAAAAGATGATAGGTGACAATATTAAGAAATAGAAATAGAGAGAAATACGATAACCATTACGGTTATCGCTTTCTTATTGTGGTTACTGGGACTTTGTCCTTGTCCTGTTTGGTACGCTCGAGAGAGGGCTTGTCCTTCGGTGTCGATGACACCGGAGTTTTGTGGTCGATCTCCATTGCCTTGTCTGAGGCACTGGAAGATCGAGAGTGAGGCGCTGAGAAACGGATCTCAGGCCTTGGCGCTCTATTGAGTTTAGGGCCCAGGGAGACCGGAGTCTGCGGGCCCTTTGATGTGCATGGAGCAGCTGGCGCTGCTTCTTTTACAGGGGCGGTTTGAGTCACCATACAACCACTGGGTGTGGTAGCGGTCGACTCCTGAGGCCTTTGTGACGCTGCCCCCAACTGCGTCACAACGGCATAACTTCTGTGGAAAAGATATGATAGCCGTGTTCGCGCTTCGCTGAATGATATTTTTTCTTTGACGGTCAGAGCGATCACTTCTTTTTCTTTTTTCCAACATGGGCATGACCGGGAATACGCTGGGTGTTCCCCGTCACAGTTAACACAGTGGGGTGAGAATGAGTAATTTTCTGATTTGTGGTCGTTTGCACTGCATTTTGCGCATGTTTTTTTGCCTCTGCAAGAGTGCGAGGCGTGTCCGAATCTCTGACATTTGAAGCAGCGTCTGGGGTTGGGAATGTAAGGTCTGACATTTATTTTTAAGTACCCAGCCTTAAGAGAGGTGGGCATTTCACATGTTCCAAAGGTTAGTATTACGTGTTTGGTGGGCACTTCCTGATTATTGCGACGGATTACTATTCTTTGGACTTTTATGACATTTTGGTCTTGGAATCCTTCGAGGAGCTCTTCGTCACTAAGGCCTAAGAAGTCTTCCTCAGAGATTACTCCCCTGCTGGTATTTAGAGAGCGATAGACCGAAACGGTGACAGCTGTTTCTCCAATGCTGGTTAGTTGGGATAGCTTAGGCACTTGGTCTTTTTCGGTTAGCTCCAAAAGGAGGTCACCGCTTGACATTTCGGATGCTTTGTATGTGGGTCCTAATTTTTCTTTTAGGCACTTGGCCACCAAAAATGGGGATAATTTTCTTAGAGGTGTGCTGTCACTGTGGATAATGTGGTACTTCGCGAAAGTAAATTGGTTCTTTCGAGACGTGATAACTTGCTTCGGTGCGGCCTCTTTTGCGAGACCGATCAAGGTCGGCGGATGCTGTAAAGCCATACAAGTATGAATGTGTTCGGTAACAGCGGCGACCACCCACCACGGAGCCCAACAAGGGGACGCGGTTGGACTTGTTGAAACAAGCCCTCCGGACGCCAGCCGTACGCTGTCACTATAACCCAATGTAATTATCCAAGGTGGGATACCTACACAAGGTTAACCTTGCCGCCATGAATATCGGAAGTAAACGGAAAGAGAGTAGAAGACAGGACAGATAAATAGTAAGAGATAAAGACAAAGATGTAGGGAGAGAGAGAGATAGGAAAAGGCGACTGCCGATTTCCCCTGGGTGGGTCAGCCCAGGGTGCCGTCTACGTGAAGCCGGGGCCAAAGGGGTGTGTTGCCTCTGCCGGGGGGCCTTAACGGTCCAATCACCCAGCGTCGGCTCAACCCCCAGGATCCCCTTTTCCCCGGACACGGCAAAGCCACGCACGGCTAGGCGTGGGAGGGAGTCAAAACTCCCCCGTTAGCTCGGGTTCGTGGTGTCGCTACACACCAAACGCCTACTTGCGCAGGCGCCCCTGCGGGGGAAACATGATCGTGACATCACCCCCAATGTCCTTGACATTCTTCCTGAATGTCAGCCTGCTTTTTACTTTGCCAGCAATAAATTCAGAAGCTTGATTTATTATTTATATTTATTTATTACAAGTACCTACATCGCCCATTGGGAATTGTTGTAGGGGGGTTACAGTAGAAAATAGAATACAAAACAGCAAAATTAAAAGCAAATAAATCGTGCATTACAGTATACAGGAGAAATCAACACTTGTAGTACAGCATTAGAACAAAAGTACAAAATACAGGATTATACAACGAAAACAGTAATTATACATATAAAAAATCAACAAACAAGAGAAGTACAAAGCCAACGTTAAATATATGGGTTATTTCAGCAGCTCAAAATGCTGTTTCAATGGCTGTTAGGAAATTAGAATCAGAGAATATTGGTATTTTTAGCACATTCCAGTCACTAATAGAATTTGGAAAGAAAGAGTATCTAAGGACACTCAATCGACAGGTATATTCTCTAATTTTATATAAGTGATCTTTCCGTTCGGACATATAACTAGGCGTCTTTAAATACCGCTCTTTATTTAGCCCAGTCTTACCGTGATATATATTATAGAGAAATTTATGTCTTTGAACTTTCCGTCGTCCACAAAGGGGTTCCCAACCCAAGGCCTGAAGAATTCCAGAATACCTTATTCTAAAATCGTAGTTTCCTGTAACAAACCTAGCAGCCCCTTTTTGCACCTTCTCCAACTTTTCTTTCAGTACATTCGTGAAAGGGTCCCAAGAAACACAAGCATACTCTAAAATTGGGCGCACATTTGTAATATACAGGGTTTCCTTGAGTGTTTGCGGCGCGTCGCTGAAATTTCTTTGGAAAAAATGAATTAAGCGCGAAGCCTTGGCTGTGATTAGATCTACGTGACTGGTCCAATCTAGTGTTGCCGTGAATGTTACGCCGAGATACTTGACTTGACCTACCTTTTGTACTGGGCAGGAATTTAAGTAATAAGACCTGGATACTACCTTTTTTTGTTATTAAATTGCACATGAAAACATTTAGTTAGGTTCAAACTCATTTGCCACTGAGCACACCAAGACACAATCTTATCGAGGTCAGACTGAAGTACTGTGGTGTCATCAAAACACTTGACTGGGCAATACAAAACACAATCATCAGCATAAAGCCTCACTGCTGATTTCAAACCCAGTGGAAAATCATTGATAAAAATCAAAAACAGAAGCGGCCCCAGGACCGACCCCTGTGGCACCCCGGACAGTACATCAGCTGTTGATGAAGACACACCATTTATCACAACACATTGCTTGCGGCTGCTGAGATAATCCTTAATCCAGTCTATGAGGGTTTTAGGAATACCAAGAAACGACAACTTATGAAGCAAAAGACTGTGGGGGACGACATCAAAAGCTTTTTTGAAGTCCAAAAATACAGCCTCCAATTGAATGCCCTGGTCGAATGATGAAGCGATGTCATGTACGAATTCGGTTAGCTGTGTAACACACGAAAGGCCTGCGCGAAAGCCATGTTGAGACAGAGTGAAAAAATTATTATCTTGAAGGTGTTTTATAAGGCAAGAATAGATTATGTGTTCCAGTGTCTTGCAACAAACGGGGGTTAGCGATACCGGTCTATAGTTAGACACATTATCAAGGACACCGGATTCGATTGTCAAGCTGTATCATATGACAGCATTTTTGAAGGATGGTACAGGTAAGGGCGCATTTTCTGCATCCATACACCTCAGAGCTGGGCCACAAAAGTGTATGTGGCAGCCCACTTGTGTGCTTCAGTATTGTTCTCCTCATGCAAATTCCAAGTGAAGAGAATCTTCTTGACACTTGAGTCAGTGACTGTGCAGCTGTGACAGGGTGCTTGCAACACCATGGCTGTTGCATCTGTGGTAAATTCGTGTAGTGTCATACTGTGTGGCAAAAGGAGAGCCCACACTCGCAGACAGCCCACAATACGGCTTTGTGGCAGCAAACTGTTATCTTTCTCAAGGACATGTAAAGAACAACCAAGCATGAAAGCAAGCTGGCCACCTCACCTGCACAGGAGCTGGAGATCTGCGGTTGAGCGAGTAGCAGCGCTGAACCTGCTTACGACACTTGCCCTTCTCCTGAAATAAATATAATGCACTGCTATTCAGTTTTCAAACAATAAAATTCAATACAAATGTGCACAGCAGTAATTTACATGCTAGTTATTTATGCTAGCCATACTAGTCATACTATCAGCACAAATATAAACTTGAATGCAAAGTCCTGAATGTCGCGCTCTGTGTGACCAACCCACCTACGTTTCCGCATGTCGACATTTCTCAGCCGCGGGAGCGGCCACGACTGCTACACTCACTCGCTCTTCCCTGCTATTCTTCCAAGGACTTGCCTGTCTGCTTAGTGAACGACCGCCGGAGACGAGAAGTGATCCGGGGGAAAAAAGGGATAATCAAAAGGAGCGGTCAGGAGTGCTCACAGGTCTTTTCGCTACAAGAAGTTGGCCGGCTTCACACCGGCCCTGCGGCTGTCGGACCTACTGAGGGTCACGTTTTCTGTACATTCCCGTATAAATTGTTTGTTCTTTTAATGTCCAACGTTAAGGCATCTTCCTCCGGAGCCATCGAAGACTGCAGAGAACACCATCGAGACACTTGGGCCTGGCCTTGCTTCGCACAAAAAGAACCTGAAGTTTACTGGTGCAGTCAAGCAGGATCGCTGCACCCTCAGAAACTACTGGACGAGGCTTTTAAACAACGAAACTCAAGGACAATGAAGGAGCCCGCAAGCACCGGAGCAGCAGTAGCCGAAGCCTAACCTCACATGCAGAGCATCAGGAGTGCCGAAAGGCCCGGGCAGGCATAAAACGAGCGGCAAGCGGCCGTCCTTGTCAAGACCGCCGCGAAAGACTTTCCGAGACAACCATGTAGTGAGCTATGTACTGAGCTACGGAGCGACACTGACCAGCGACGGCATACACCAGCGTCGATAGCTCCCCCAGCAAAGTGCTCAGATCAGCCCTTCCTGCCCCATTCCTGAACATCTCTGTGTTGTTTGGGCTGGCCCGCTCATATTCTCACTAATTTCAGGCACTCTGACAAATGCCGCACTTGCGTAATGGGAAATGAGAGCGGAAATGGTAGGGCGGACTAAAACCGCGGTATGACCACTCCCTCAATTTCAGAGAAAGAGATGGAAATGCAGCTTAAAATCGCCGAAGAAGAATGGAGGTCCCTGGAAATTAAGCTGCAGATTGTTCAACATCAGAGGGATAGCTCACCGCATACAAAAGATGCCGAGAGCAATGCAACATCTCCCAGTAGGTCAATAAAGCTCCTTAGACACTATGAGCAGATGCTAGCGGGCACATTTCCTAAACTTTGGCTGACGGGGAGGTATCCATCCGGTTTCAATCGGTGGAGAGCTCGTTGGAGATGTATGGCATGCTGAGATATTTCAGGGGACACCTTCCCACTGATCGCCCAACGCTTGCTGTACCTTTCCACACGCCTCATACGCGAGCAACATCGCGATTACGGCACCATGAAAAGCGTCATACTCGAGAAACTGAAACTGTCAGCAGTGGATTACCAGACGATTCCTCAGTGCCACTAAACGCTGCCACGAGACATGGAGGACATTTGTGTAACTCGCGTATAGAGTTATTTGAACTTCGTAAAAGCCCGCGGTGCCTCCGCCTCCACCTTCAGACGCCTGGTAGAGCTCTTGGTCGCTGACAAGATAAAAGCCAGTCTAACCCAAGAATGTTAAACTGTGTGATGGGGAAGATTCGTTGAAAGCTTGCGAGCTAGCTCGTTTATTTCAGACAGTAGAGGAAGCTACTGGGAAAGGTAGCACCTGCAGAAAAGCTGGAGCCACGAACAAAGAGCCGATCTGCGAAAAGGTTGACAGGCTGAACAAACAAAAGTCCCTCCACAGCGCGGAGACACAGGCACAAAGGCACAGGAAAGTAAGCCTTCCTGGGGAGGCAAGAACCAGTCGCGCTCGCAAGGGTGCCCCAGCTGCGGTAGCTGGCAGTATTACAGTGACAGCTGTCCAGTAAATGGCGAGAACGCTAACCCTAAAGGTGAAGAGCCTACAGAGAGGGTAACCGTGCGCATTTCAATCAGCTGTAAAGAGGCGCTTTCAGTACTCCACAATGTACAGCTGAACTGCGAAGAGAAAGTTTTGAAAAAGATTGTGGAAATGGGCACTGATCTCGCCATTGTGCAAGGGAGCAGCATACCGGGCCACCTCGTTAAACCACACGGCACCGTCGACCTAGTGTTCACCTTCGATGATAAAATTGAAGCGAAGCTTGCCGTCATTCCTCTCACTGCGCAGAGATTGGGTGCCTCAATCCAAGTAAGAGAGCTCGACGCCAGTAATGTGTGCCCTGATGGACAGGTCGGCCGGCCACTCAGACTGTTCAATATCCGCTGACACTTGGGAACAGTTACAGGTACATATGGCTACGATGGGGACACAATCGCAGGAGAACCTCGCCGAACACACATTCACAAGCCCAACTTCGGCTGGTGTCGAGCCTTTAAAGGATTCTACGTGGGAAACCATAATTGAGGCCGATGAGAGAAACCGCGGGGCACTAAAATCTCAGCAACAAAGTGATGCGATAAATTTGCGTGATAAACAACATGGCGATAAAATGCTGAATAATGCCGGGGGAATGCTGCAATCAGTGAGACGACCATGCACCTGGTAGATGGACTGTGCGAGACCGCATCCCTTGCCACGCCAAACCTCCGAACATCGCACGTGTTCTCCACCAACGCATCCACTGTAGTTGCACGTGCAGGCTAGACACGAATTCATGAAAGCTCCGAGGTGCCGATAGCGTTCGGTAATCATTTGTTTACACCTACGCAGATGCGGTGGGCTACCACTGAACACGAAGCATCCGCAGTAATTTGGGCCTTAAAAGAATCTAAAAGTATGAGGTGTTGGGGTTACGATGACCTTCATCGCCTACCACTACTTGCTCTGCGTGTCAGAAAGCCCCAAGGGGCAAAGCTAACATGAGGGTGGTGTGAGCGACCAGCCTGGGCACTATTGGCGTTCTAAGGTCTTGTGACAGGGAGGGTTCCCTGCTTATTTCGTGCAAATGGTGTGTTGCAAAATGAACTTTTGCCCACCGAACCTACTGCAGTCACATGATTTCAAAGTGAACTGTGCGTCGTGTGTGCTGCCTCACAGCAAGTTCAGCGCACGCGAGTGACAGGTTCATTTTGATTTTGTAATGTGATGTTGCATCTTGTGCGATTGTTTTTTTTTTTCATTGCACCTTCTTTCTGGTCAACGAATCTTGGAAGGGAGGTGTTATGTCGCGCTCTGTGTGACCTGCCCACCAACGTTTCCGCACGTCGACATTTCTCAGCGGCAGGGGCGGCCAAGACTGCTGCACTCACCCGCCCTTCCCTCCTATTCTTCCAAGGACTCGCCTGGCTGCTGGTTACATTAAGACTGTTTCGTGAATGTTACTCATTAAGCTTATAGTACAATTTACTCCTATACTCTAACTGCGCATCATAAGTCATACAAAAAAGACATGGAGGAAAAGCATGGATGTGGCATCAATATAACAGCACAAAAATGTAAACATAGATAAGGATGAAATGCCTCTTTAGAAGAATGCATGTGTTATTTGCACCATCGTTCTTTTTACATGGGTATTATTTCTGCTTTATTACGGCACCATCGTAACAGCCACCATTAGGAGATGCACTCACGGAGTGTTTAATATTGCTGCATTCAACCTACAAAAAAGAAGACAAAGTTTTTGCCCGGTCCTCTTTGCGAGTGCCTTACATATAATTACAGTGAGCTCTCCAATACCAGACTTCTACGATTTCTGTGTCGTGACACTGATGGAGGTGCTGGGTACATGGCCAGGACACCTTTCAACAGCCCTGGATCTAGTCCACAAAGACTTCCGCTCGTCGAAACACCCGATCACCGCCGCCTGTTAGGCCTGAGCCCAGAGTTCGGTCCTTTGCCGGAAAACATGACTATGCCCGGAAGCAGTAGCCCCGCCATGACCAGCCCAAGCACGACACAGGTGACTGTTTCAAACCTAGAATTCCTGTGGACTTCCACATCAACACATATGAGGACGCAGATGACTGGCTCGAGAAGTTCGAGCGCACAGCCAACGTTAATGGGTGCAACGCAGCACAGAAGTTGCGATACGTGTATTTCCCTCTTGAAAACTGAGCCCGCACATGGTTCACAAATCGCGTGAGGTTAACGCGGGACGAATTATGGCGGAAGTTTTTAGACACGTTCGCAAACACCGAAAAGCGGGAGCATGCATAGCAACTCCTAGAATCACGGATTCAGAAGCCAAATGAATCTGTTGCTATGTTTGTTGAGGACATGGCCCGCATTTTTCATCAAGCAGACCCTGATATGTCCGAAAGCAGAAAGATCAGCCACCTAATGAGTGGTGTTAAGGAACATTGCTGGTCTCGTGCGAAGCCCGCCTTCATGTGTCGATGAATTTTCCAAGGAGGCGACCACCATCGAACGCGCACTGCAGCGACGCTACTGCCAGTACGACCGCCCAAACAACAGCAGAAAAATCAGCGCAACTGCCTTGACTACAGTGACACCTGATGAGCGTTCTTTGCAGGAACTCATATGCGAAATCGTACAAGAAGAGGTGAAGAAGCTCGCTGCCACACCGCTTGACTGCGCGATTGTCATGTTGGAGAAGTTGTGCTCCAGGAGATAAGGCAAGCACTTTTACTTCCCGAGCGAAACACTGACACGGTTAGGCCAGCCTATGCTGATGTTCTCCGCTGAGAGCCAGCTAACGAGCCACCACCACAGCAGTACCACCAGCCACAGCCGCCGACAGTTCCTTGGTACTACAAGCAAACTTCCACGCCAATGCCACTACCAGTTCGCAAAACCAGCATCTGGCATACCCCTGACTAGCGGCCTTCGTGCTTCCATTGTGGGGAAGCACGCCACATTGTTCGCTATTATCCCTATCGCATCGCCAGGTACCAAAGATTTCCGTCCACAAATTAATGACTTAACAGAACACCTCAAAGAGACATGTACATTGACGTGGGCCATAAAAATTGGGACGACGTTCTGCCATACTTGACGTTTGCCTATAATACGGCACAACCCAAAACTACCCGAGGCACGCTATTTAGTCTTCTTCACAAGCTTTTACTCAACGAGCTGAAGAAGGGAGGCAGCTTGCACGCGTACAAATCGCCCAGCAGCAGAGTTACGACGCACAACGTTATAACCTGCAACACAGATACGTCACTTATCAACCAGGCGAGAAAGTGTGCGTCTGGAACCCTATTTGCAGACGCGGTTTCTCTGAGCAAGAAAGGAAGACGAAGTTCTTGCCAAGTCCTCTTTGGGAGTGCCTTGTGAGCTTTCCAATAGAAAGTGAGCTTTCCAATACCCGACTTGTGCTGTTTCTGCGACTTGGCAATATAATTACCTCACAACTACATCTCTTAATCCTCTGAGGGTTGAAGATGCGCATGTATGCCATTCACTAACAGCCACAAGATAGTCAGACGTACATGCACGTTACTGCCTGTATGTCTAAAATACATGCCTTTTTTTTTCATTTCTCTTGCTTGCCATATGCTGCCACACATAAGTTGAATTGTTTCCTTGCACTGATGTCTTTCTATTTTATTGTTTATTAAATGCTTTACTGAACCAGCATGCCAGTTAACTTCAATTTCGTTTGTCGGCCAGTAGCCGCTTGTTGGGCCCACAAAACTTATAATTTTCGGTTTAGAATTATTCAATAGGTGACCGATTTGTTACTCTGTTTTTTATTGCTCCCTGGTACGCGATTATACCGGTTTTCACTCGGGCACTGACTGACACAAACGATACTGCTGCGAGTGCTTTCTGTTTTGGAAACTCGCAAAAACCGCTTCCACCTTATTGGCGATAAGACGGAGGATTGTTGTAGCTTTTGAACTTGTTTTTGATTTCTGGACACACTCACAACTACAGTTGTTTTTTAAAGCATTCATGGCACCATTAACAGCAAACAGTTAAGAAACACAGCCTTTCTCGCTTTCTGTGCACATGTCTGTTCGTATGAATGTGTCCTATGCCCTCTATTCAAGAGTTCAAACAATATCCCTTTTTTACACCCTCATAATTACCATACTTCTGATGATCTACTAGCGCCTACTGTACCTTGTCAGTCATGTAGCTGTCAAAGGAGAGGTCAATGGCCACTTTAATCTTGCACAAGGATTCCTCCATCTTTGTGATTGTGGGCTTCTTGTGCACTGCCGCTTCCCCGTTCCTGGACTTGAACGCCTCCCGCTTGCGCTTTTTCTTCTCTTTTTCCAAAGCCCTGCATTTAAACAAGACTGCGTTAGCACTGCACCAAAACAGAAAAACATTGAACTTGAGTTTGTAAATGTAGCTCTGTACCACCTCCTAAAACGAGTCTTAGTTACAGATCTTTGTTAAACAGCCCGTACATTTCTTTTGAAATCAGTCACACGGGTTAAGAAACCCTGCAACACTTTTCTAAGTAATCATCGAATGGCTTTACTTCGGAAGTTCATTGCCTCACAAATGCGGAAAAAAATAGAATCTGTCATGAAGAAGCAAAATTACAGGGATCGGATTCATGCTTTAAGTGATTTCTTTCTCCTTTGATGCCAGCGAGCATGTTGAAAGATAGTCAGGTGAATGGGCAGATGACAATGGGCAAGATGCCAGGCACTTTTTCCACGGGTTCAACCGAAGTTGCACGCAAATGACAGAAGGTCGTAAGGTAAGTGATGCCGCTGGCACTAACGTTTGGCACGTATCTGGAACTCGCTTACCGTTACACTGCGTCCCATAAAACTACTGCGTTCGCAGTAATGCTCGTATACGTACCTTCTCTCCGGTCTCTTTTTCAGCCAGTATATTCTTCGCCACACACGTTTCCGGAAGCGTTTAGACAACGTGGAGTTTGGATCATTTAACAAAGCCTCCAGTTCAGAGATGGTCATCAAGTTGAACTCCTTTGTTACCGGTTTGTCACTTCCACCACTCACATTTACGAGTCCCTCAACATCGCTGCTGTCGGAGTTATCTTCGAAAGCTGCGTCCTGTTTGCCATTTTCGTGCTCCATTTCTTTACTGATGCTGCGCACACGCGGAAGATTAGTCCTAATAAAATTAGTGCTTAAAAGCGCGAAGACACAGCACAAATTATATTACGCGCAAAGGCATACAAACTTAGGTATCACACCACACCACAGAGTGACCACACTGAACACGTGCGTAACAAACGCTGCTCGCTTGCTCGCACACACAGCCGGAAAAAGCGACCGCTGTTTCCGGTTTAGTGCGGGTATAGACTTCTAATAAAATAGAAACTATTCTGCCAGTAGCGTTGTAGTGTTGCAAGTAGCGCCATAAAGTTTTCGAAATGGTTATAGTTATATCACAGAACACCTATACACTACCACAACGGCTACAAGGAGGTTATACTAAACTTTCTGGAGTGGCGGAGGGGCTCCGCGGCTGACGCCACGCGCCGCCATATTGCTCAGGGCAGAAAGCGGTCGAACGCATTGTAACGCGTGCATGTGCGTGCGGCCTCTCCGTTGTTTTTCTTGAGTGCGGTGCCTCTAATCGAATGAGGCCGCTGTGGCAGACGACTGTGACCTCTTCTGAAGACGATGGTGGGCTCTTGCGCAGCATTTGGCTGCGCAAATCGCGTGAAGCAAACACCGGGGATAACTTTTCACGTGTAAGTAGCGTGCTTTGCTCGCTCGCTTTCCCTCGCATTTTTTTGCGATTACGAATGCATTCGCGCGTACAAGCATTTCCCATTTACGTCCGGGTGCCATGGAGACACTGTGAAACATTTTTGTGCTTTGCAGGTTTCCCAAAGACTGCGAATAGCGCAGTGCATGGGAGCGCGCTGTGAGGCGAGAAGGTTGGACTCCGAAGAAGAATGACGTCTTGTGTTCAACGCACTTTGAAGCAGACTGCTTCGATAGAACAGGGCAAACAACGAGACTACGAGCTGGTAGCATCCCTACCAAGTTTGCAGCGTTTCCAGCGCACCTACAAAAGCCAGTGAGTACGCTTCGTGAGCTCTTCGTTTACCAAATGTAGTTATTGTAGCGTTAGCTCCGCATCTCTGGGATTTTCAGTTTCTAATATTTAGTTGCGCATTCGCTCTAAATGCCTAAATTTCTGACGCTGTCGCGTTATTCCTCTTTTTGCGTAGGAGAAGAGAAAACGAGCTCCTCCAAAAAGTCGGGAGATGCCTTCGCCTCAGGAGCCTGTTTTGGATGAAGCTGCCGAAGTCTCCCCCCTGCAAACTTCCCCCCCGAAGGAGTGGTACAAGCAGAAAGTGCATGAATCGGCGAAAGAGGTACAGCAGCTGAAAAACAAGGTCAAGACGTTGCAACAGAAGAAACGGAGACTTTCAAAACGCATTGATGCTTCTCAGGATTTGATTGAGCAGCTAAAGGAGCAGAACCTTTTGTCGGAAAAAGGGTTGGAGGTTTTCCAAGCGTCATTTTCTCCGGATATCCAGCAGCTTCTCAAGAGAACTCATGAAAAGACGAACAAATACCCCCCAGAATTAAGAGCATTTGCACTGACGCTTCACTATTATTCGCCAAGGGCTTATGATTATGTGCGAGCTAAGTTTAACAATGCTTTGCCAAACCAGCGAACTCTTCGCGAATGGTACAAGGCAGTGAATGGTGATCCTGGCTTCACCTCAGAATCATTCGAGTTTATCAAGAACATAGTGCAAGGAAGAGATGAGCCACTGGTCGCTGCCATAATGATTGACGACATGTCTATTAAAAAACATGTCCAACTTGTGGGCAACAAAGTTTTCGGATATGTCGACTTGGGCATGGAAATGCCAGATGACAGCCTCCCAGAAGCAACGAATGCCTGTGTTTTCATGCTGGTGGCACTCAATATGAGGCTGAAGGTGCCCCTTGGGTATTTTTTCATTGATTCTCTCTCTGGTTCTGAAAGAGCGCAGCTAACGAAAGAGTGTATCTCGCGCGTGACTTCAGCAGGTGTCATAGCAGCATCACTGACTTTTGATGGAGCGGCCTCGAACTTTTCAATGGCCAGTTTTCTTGGTGCTGATCTCCGCTGTCGTTCTCCGGGATTTAACACCTCATTCCAGTGCTTTCAGCGGTGACGAGTGCTGTTGTGCCGTATGTAGCGGGATTTGTGGCTCGCAAGGTGCGGTCTGTCACGAATTGTGAGGAGTGCTGTGCTGCGCTGGAATCAAGCGAAGAACCAGACCTTGTCAGAGCAAAAAACAGAGGTGGACTTGTCGCACCATCCAAGGACGTCTTAGAGATCTGCAGTATTGCAGAAAAGGGACTGCGAGTACTACAGCATGAATGCAAGAATTTGAAATCCCTTAATACTAGCTCAGATAGCCTTTTGGTACATGTGATGACTGCAGTGTTTGAAAAAGCATTGTTCGCGCAGCTGGAGCCTCACCTGCTGGACTGTGACCCCCTTGATAACCATATATATAGCTTATCAAAGAAAATTGCCAGCGTGTACATCAGAACAAGACTTCATCACATTTCTAGGAGAATGAACCAGGAGAACTGTAACAAAAACGTGCGCACACTCCTAACAAGAGAGATTATTTTCAAAAATGTCTAAGTGCGAGAACTTGATTGATGTGTTTTTCTATTTAATTTAGCTCACTGTTAGTGTTTGATGCATTTGTTCTTTTAGTCAGAATTTTAATTTTTTGCTGGAAGATTTAACGTTTGGTTTAGTCAAATGCATCTGGTGCTGAATGTGACTAACTGTAGGGTTTAACGGGCCGACGCATTGCAGGCAATGAGCCTTGCCGTAGTGGAGGGCTCCGGATTAATTTTCACCATCTGGGGATCATTAACCTGCGCCGAAATCTCGTTTTCGCTTTTCGCCTCCATTAGAAAGTGGCCGCCGCGGCCGGTAACCGTGGTGCTGAATGTGGACAAGTGAATAAATATGGTTGTACCGTGAACCTTCAGTTTCCTTTATTGCGTTATTGGTTTCATATTTTTTTTTTTCGTCTCCAGCTAGCATTCTACAACTTCTCCCGCTCTTAAATTTTATTTTCGTTGCATCTTCTCGAGCGGTACTTCTGCCGTGAGACAACAGTGTAAACATATAATACAAACTGATATCCTATCGCATCATCTTTAACTCTCAGTGTAAGTGTCAAGAAAAAAATAAATAGGATGTATATTAGTCGTTTCAAAGTTCCCTCGCGTCCTAAGAAAAATAAAGCGGCCCTTTCATTGCTATTACAGAAGGCACGGCTGCAAGCGTACGGGGCACAACGGCGGCACAAGGCAGTCGCCGCCTCCTTCTGCCCTGAGCAATATGGCCGCCGACGGGTTTCCGCGGCTTCACTCCGATACATGGGCGGGTATGCGGGACCGCCACTCCAGAAGTTCTAAGTATAACCTCCTTGAACGGCTATAACCTCATCCTAGTTTCCTCGAAAGATAAAAACACGCAAAAATTACCATCAGTGACTGTCGTTATTTTTAGCGTGTGTGAGATTGGGAAACAAAGATGAACAACACTGAATCTTCAGTACATTTTGAAACTTGTGATTGAAATGCCAGCACGATGGTAGCACAGCATGATGCGAGTCTAGAAACAAGGCCGTATGTTTTGCTCCATAATACAGTTCTAAAGATTTTGCCATAAAGTTTCATACAATATTATTTATAGTTTTTGCTATCAATGATTGCAGTCAATGTGACTGCTTATTACGAGACACAAAACGCTGACAATGCTGTAAACGCAAGTTTTCAAGCATAAAGTACACTAAAAAAACCTTGTTTTATCTAAAAAAAATTAGGTCTTCACTTTTGTGACAAGCGTAAGAACACTGGGGATTCGTAGGTACTTTTGGCCCAAACAAGAATTTCATGACAAACTCAGTCGGCAACGCTGCTGCACAGCGTGGTTGCGAAAATTACAAAACACTGTAGTAGAAAACATTCGTGCACTCTCGTTATTGTCGAGAATATACGAGAGTTATGCTTGAGAGAGTCGTCACCGCTTTTAGCGGGTCATTTGAAAGTTGTAAACGACAACGTTCTTCAGGCGACGATCTTCTTTTGAGTTGTAAATTTAATGTCACACGCGGAATCGCCAGTAACGGAGCTAGATAATCTTGGAATGCTGATGATGACAGCTTAATTGTTTCATTATCTCTTCTAGTTCACTATAGTTTTATCAAGTCGAGGCAAGGTGCTTATCCAGCTTGACAAAAAAATTGAAATAAAGTACTCATAATAATAATAAATGAAAACGGCGCGCGCTCTTCTTTTCAAGCTACTAGTACAGTGTCTAGAAATATACAGCCTAGTGTGCTGAGCGCGGGCTAGGAGATGGCCCCGCAGCTGATGACTGCCGGCGGCGCACGCATGGTGCGCTGCTGTGCTAGTGGGAGCATTTGCGTTCAATCCTTGCGCTCCGCAAGCGCTGCGAAGCTTTCAGGAGGCCGAGCCACGCGAGGCCATGTATTATTTTCCTGCATTTTCGGAGTGTTTTTTTACATAATGCTTTATTGTATAAGGACGACTCAATTGCTTTCAGAATACTGGTGCTTTGCAATACCAAATAAAGATCATTTTGTGGCATACATTTCGCCATCCGCTACTGCCCGCAAAAGAAAAAAAAGAGGCAGATCCCACGTAACTTGGGAATCAATACTATGCAAGGTGACTCTGTTGTAATTTTTTATTAAGTGAAACATTACGAAGTGGCACTAAATATATGCGAGAAATTGGATCACTGGAACCAGCATTGGCATTTCACGAACATTTGGCTCTTCTTTCAAAGTATTTCGAAGACCTGGCGTGGCTCTGTAGTAGAATACTTGGTTTCCACGCAGATTTCTTGGCTTCGATTCCTCTGCTAGGACACAGACGTGTATTATTTGCATTCGTAGGCAGGGGCGGCGCCAGGGGGGGGGGGGGCAAGGGTGGGCTGGAGCCTCCCCAAAATTCTCGCCTGCCCCCCCTATGCCCACCCAAGTGCCCGAAAGCATATATTGAAAACCTAGTAGGAGCAGAGCTAGCTTGCCCCCCCGGAGGAACTCAATTTTGGTGGTTGCCCCCCCAGTGATCCTGGCGCCGCCCCTGTTCGTAGGGTCAACGTTGAAAATGCCAGCTTAATGCTTAATGCTCACGCGTTAAAAAAGAAGATGTGGCGAGAAAGGTTTGATGGCGTACGTGACGGAATTGTGAAATTATTCATATCAGGACCACTGAGTATTCATGAAATTACCTACCCGCCCACACAAATTTGGTTTACCCTAAGTTCAGGGGGTGGGGTGATCGTGAGGGCACCCAGATGTATGCGATTGCATAGATAGATAGATAGATAGATAGATAGATAGA